CCAATTCTGAAATCTCGGAAATATTAAATCAAACGCCAGCCATTACCATTTACAGCTAAAGAAAGAGAAGCTAAAAGTTGCCAGATTGAAAACTCTTGCACCTTCCATGATTGGAAATAGAAGAGGGAATTTCAGCAGATTTTGCAACCAGGGAACAAGCCAGCATGGGGCAGTGGTTTGAGCGTTGGACTACGACTCTGGAGACCAGGGTTCAAATCCCAGCTCGGCCATGGGAAGCCGCTGGGTGACCTTGGATGGGTGACACTCTCTCAGCCTCAGAGGACAGCCATGTCAAACCCCCTCTGAGGAAACTTGCCAAGAAAACCCCGTAGGGTTGCCATAAGTCAGAAACAACTTGAAGGCACACAACCACGACAAAACAAGCCACACCTGCTGAAATTCCCTCTTCTACACAACCATTAAAGGCAGCCATTTCAAGTCTTCCCTATGGCAATCCTAAATGCAACATCCAAAACTCTGCTGATCCCTTGTAAACTAATCAGTTTTGTTTGCTATAAGCTTTTTTGTGGGCTGTAATCTCCATTTCCTCCGAGGCACTGGATTTCAAACTTGTGCAAGGAAAAAACACAATTTTCTGCTGGGATCCCTTCCAAGGATGCCTTTGTAAAGCCACTAGTCCTGAATAAGTCCCACTTCTCAATCAACCTGCCAAGTAGAAATGTTCTTTTAGTGCATCTTTTTGGATTCCCATTCTTCCTTGGGCCATTAGCATTTCCACTTGCAGGATTTAACTTGCCCTGCTAATGGCTTTGCAAGGAAATTATTCCCATCATAATGGAGTCACGGTTACTGGCACAAAGTAATACACCTGTGCTTTTTGAAAAAAAAACACAAACTCCAAGAGGACTTTGCTAACCCATAAAGAATTTATGAAACTTTCTGCAAATCCCAAATTTCTAACATTGCACACAAAGAGAGAGAGAAAGAGACTGAAGATCATTGACACCAAGGTTCACTTTGTTGCATTCACAATTCCTTGGGAACTTTGCCAGTCCCTTTTCTTTGGATGGCAAAACTGCATTTCCAAATGCTCAGCTCTAATTTAATAATAATAATAATAATAATAATAATAATAATAATAATAATAAAATTTATTTATATACTGCCCAATGGTTGCCCAATCAGGGCAATTTTAAATTACTGCGATGCTAGAAATTTGGGGGCTGCACCAGAAATTCCATGCGAAGAGGCAAATTCGTATGGAGAAGCAATGCACTTAATTTGGATCCCTCCCCTATCACAGATACATCCCCGAAAGAAGAGAAGATGATCATCACAAATTTTGGATTTGACTTTTTGTTTAAAAAACAAACAAACCAAAGATTACAAAACCACAGGCGCAACCTCGAATGCTATGAGGCCAAACCTGTAACGAGAGATCAGGGCCTTTAAAAGAGTTCAGGAATCTTTTCGTCTCCAACAAATACACACAATTTGGTATACTTACACTTTGCATCCCGGATGAATGCAATGAGCAGCCACTGGTTTTAACTGGAGTGTCTTGTGCGCTGGTGGTTTTCCCAATCTGATCTGCTGCAAACCTGTTTCCTTTCTGCACCGACTCGGTCAGGTTCTGGAGCTGCAAGGATGTCCCATGAGATATCCAAATCTCCTTTCAAAATCCATCCATCCTGGGCCCGCCGCAAGCTAATCCCGGTTTGCTCCTGGTTTGCACAAGACAGGTGCCTTCTCTCTGTGTTTTTGCCTTTCTCTGTCTCTGAAATGATGCTGGAAGAGGCCAGCCCATGGGGAAATGGATGGGGTGACCCAGATGTGTGGTGCAAGATGGACACCCACAAGAGAAGGGAACCCAAGGATTGCTGGTTTCGGAGAGGTGTGTCCCTCACAAGCCTCCCCTTGTCCTTTTAAAGAGAGGCAAGGACTTGGGCTTTGGGGAAATGGATGGAGCCAGGTGTCTGGTTTCAGCTCTCTAGCTAATAAGCAAGCAGGCCAGCCTCCAGGAGGGCTGGTGTGCTTTTAAAAAGATACAGCAAGGCATACAGGGACAAGGC